TACCTGTATGGGCAATCCATCAATTCGAATTCCCATACGGCCGCTATCTGACATCAAACCTTCGTACACTTTCTTATCCAATAATAAGACTGAGAAACCAATTGGATTATGGAGATGCCAACTCAGTTCAGTGAAAGCTGGAAGATTGAAAAACAGTTCAAATTCGTTTCCAGCTAAGAAGTGCTGACTGAAATGGTCAATGATGACTGAGGCACAACTAAGGCTACTCAATGGTTCATAACGCTACCATTTTGAATGTAAAGATATCCTTGGTAATTTTTTTGCATGTGAACATAATCTGTACATGCCAATTTGAATGTGAACATGACCTTGGCTGCCATTTTTAATTTACAGATAGACACCATTTTGAATGTAAACATCTCCTTGGCTGTCATCTTGAATGTAAACCTGTAGAACTATTTGGAATGTAAATATCACCTCTGGAAGCTATTTTGAATGTAAACATCATCTGTGGAAGCCATTTTGAATCTAAACATGAATTTGGCTGCCATTTTGAATGTAAAACTCACCTGTGGAAGCCATTTTGAATATAAACATAAATTTGGCTGCCATTTTGAAAGTAAAATTCACCTGTGGAAGCCATTTTGAATGTAAACATCACCTGTGGAAGCCATTTTGAATCTAAACATAAATTTGGCTGCCATTTTGAATGTAAACATCACCTGTGGAAGCCATTTTGAATATAAACATAAATTTGGCTGCCATTTTGAAAGTAAAATTCACCTGTGGAAGCCATTTTGAATGTAAACATCACCTGTGGAAGCCATTTTGAATCTAAACATGAATTTGGCTGCCATTTTGAATGTAAACATCACCTGTGGAAGCCATTTTGAATCTAAACATGAATTTGGCTGCCATTTTGAATGTAAACATCACATGTGGAAGCCATTTTGAATGTAAACATTACTTGAATGTAAACATCATCGCCATTTCTCATAATTTTAAATACAAAACATTTTTAGATAAAAAAAATCAAGAAACTTACTATTTGTGGAGGGATAATACTCAATGACTAATGCTGCTGTCTCTGAAAACATAGTAGCATTATCACGTGATTGGTGGAAAAAGAACATGTGGTTCCACACTGGTTGTTCTGATGGGATTCCAGGGACAGTTATCTGGTGAGAAATAAGAACATATACATTATTAATATCTGTCTTATAAACATGTTTACAGCAAGTCTCAGATGTATTGGGGCAGCCAATTTGCAAACTTGCTCATGAGCTTGCTGCTTTGGTTTTGACTGAATGGTTGGCTTTCGAATCTCACTGGTGGTGTCCTGTGGTCACGCCCACTCTGGGTGAATCTATATAACAGTCGGGTCCGTCATACTATAGTTGGATGGCGATTTCGCTTTCAAATACACCAAGGAAAGTGTTCTATTTTCTTCATGTGATGAGGTGTTCGTATACAGGGATTGTCCACGCAAAAACAAAGAATGAAGTCGAATTTTATTAGCGGTTGGTTTAATGTTACCCCAACGAATCGTTTGGATGTGAAGAATTTTTTTCTCCCTGATTTGTAGGCAACTGTTTCTCAATTTTTCTCATTATTAAGTTTCAATCAGTGTTCAAGATGGTTACCTCTATATAGTAAATATTGGTGGAATAATCGCATTTATCATATTATCACTTGTACGCCAGATGACTGTGGCCATTCTCAGGCTGACCAGGGAAACTACTTTCACATTATCACGCCTCGCAAAGCAAATCATTCAGGGGAATCCAGACCATGTACCAGGCTACGTGAAAGCATTCCATATTCCCTAATACAATATAGACTCCCCAGAGTGGACGCGACCACGAGTCGGCGCCAGCGAGATTCGAAAGCCAACAGTTTAGTCAAAACCCAAGCAGTTAGCCAATTCACTAGCGAGTTTGCAAATTGGCTGCCCCAATACTTCTGAGACTTGCAACACTTCTTAAAGAAAAACGCTGCTAAGACATTTTTAAAGGTTTTCTTCTATGACTGATTGCTACTTGAAATTCTGAAACTAAAAACTTGGGTACCTAAACTACTAATTCAATCGTGTACCTCAGTTACACGTATTTTAGCAAGTTTTCAATTCAAAACAACTGCTAGAAAAAAGTAAAATAATCGTTTCCATTTGAAGAATGGTCACCCATCTTTTTATTTGCTCATTGTAATTTTAGGATTGAAGCCAGATATCAAGTATTTATAGAGATTTTAAAGTTTCCGCATTATTGGTTAGCTGTGTTCATTCATAAATCTTCTTGCAGGTTGAATTTTGAAAGCAGATGAATGTGGGTCTGGAAATTCAACACTGATTATTAATCAATACCTACCTGTGGGTAGCCTTGTCTTCGTGCAGGTTGAATTTTAAATGCAGATGGATGTGGGTCTGGAAATTCAACACTGATTAAATCAATACCAGCCGGTCTAGGATTGCGCAACAACATGTCTCTCCTGTATTCAATGAAATAATTATGAAAATTAATCAAAAAGTGTGACATATAACATATAATGAACTAGAAATAAACAGAATGAATGAATATGTAACAGGCAATGCATACTAAATAATTTTACTAAAACATAGAACTGAATTATATAACTATGGAACATGAAAGCATGTGAACTGCGAGTGTATTTTTTTCACATGAAGGTTGAGTGGAATTCAAGATTTTGTCATGTACGACTTGTGTGACACTGCTGCTCAAAATGAGTCTAAACACCATTCACAGTAGAACTATTTTCAGTTCATTGCCAGAAAATGATCGTCATTGAACAACTCTCATCGCATAATGGTACCGCCCATAGATGGTAGTGCACCATTTTAAAACTCAAAGTGTAGATAAATTTTTTTCTTACTCTCTCCTATATATACACTAGTTCGGCCACTCTCACTGTGCTTGATTGCTATTACAAACCCATATTCTACTGAATTCACTGAAAATCGGAATGACTTAATGACAAAATAAAACTTACTTATAACCAAAATAGTCTGGAACCACTCTAGCTACAGCTATGAGAGGTCCAATAGGATTGCCAAGTTCATGTTGTACGGCTCTCAAATATACTTCTAAACCTGTAAATACAAAGTTTGGATCCCTTGGCAGGACACTACGTTTACGCATCACGGTCGCATACATCCTTATACCTGACACTGAACCATATTTTTCTGGCTGTAAGTAGACATAAGATCAAACAAATAATTAATCCAGAGTTCGCATAGATCATCAAATATGTCATATCATGGTTCAAAATATCAACATCTAAGATTACCACGAGTATTTGCCATCGATGTCAAAAGGTTGATGGCCTAAAGGGCCTGTAAGTTGAAAAATTATTGGCCGGGCCTGTAAGTTGAAAAATTATTGGCCGTGCTTGAAAGTTGTTGGCCTAAAAAAAAATATATACAAGCACAAAATAAAAATAGAAAGATGCACACTGAGGTAATGTGTAATTCTGACCCCTGGTGGAATTTGTCATTTTTACAGTCATCAAAAAACTCAAGACAGCATGCTCTTAAACTTGTCAGCCCTACTGTGAAGCCTTAGTTTTGAACATAAGGATATATCTTTTTTTATCTAGAAATATGTGACATTTTGTGACACTTCTTTATTTCATACTGTTGTAATGGTGTTACATGTCTCCTGATCACCAACGCTCATTGATGTGTAAAAAGTAGTGCCATTTGTCATAGACGAAAATAGTGGAATAAAAAGGTAATCGTGAATGCTCTCTGGGTTTTTTTGAAGTTTCAGGTGTTCCTGAATCAACATATCACAAGATTCACTCAAATAATATGCCAATATGTCCACGAAAAATATATCAGTTGTGAGTAGTATTGCCTAAAGACAAAGGATTTAATATGCTTTCACCTACACATTGCCAGACACTACAAGTTCAATAGACATATGATACTTACCTGGATAAACTCAAAGTGATATTGATGGAATGGTATTAAATTAGCTATTGGTATTTTGTAATTAACTAGTAACTCCTTGGACGGATTGTCTGCTACTTTCAAAATCAGAGCTATAATAAACAAAACAAAAAATAAAATGTTTGTAAATATACCAAGTGCACATGGATTCATTAAAATTAAAATCAAAGACAAATATTGAATTTGCTGAGAAAACATCCAGGATTCACTAATAATGAAGATGACCATTATTATCGGATTAATAGTAGCAATACCTACAAGGAAGCAACGTCATGACAATTTCCAGAAAAAGCCATTATATCAGTTGGACATATCACATCCTTTTGTTAATGAATTGACTGGTCTGTATTAGTTCTTATATTCTCAATAATCACATTGTTTTCAATTTTATATTTAGAGATTTTCCATCATTTTAGAATAGCATTGCTGAATGATTTCACAGCCCTTGCATTCTTTGCTATTCCCATATTTGCTGTCAAAAGCACGTAAACTGAAGTAAATACTCTGCAGAAATATAAGTGAGTTTGTCATACCTAAAACCCCATTAAAACGAACATTTTACATTCAAACATTCCTGCAATCAGAGATATAGTTTTAATAGAGTAACTATAGTAACTTGACACAACTATACAGTTTAAATTTAAATATATTCTATATTTTTTGTTTTTGTGATAACTAAGTTATTCTAAATGATATTGTATTTATACAAACCATCTTTCTTGGCATTATGGTCTTCCACTTCTACTGTCATAATCTCCTCCCAAGACGGTGAATGCGTTGGTAGTATTGCCGTATGTGTGGACGCCTGAGCTGGTTTATCATTCTCTTCATCACTCCCGCTTTTCCTAACAAATAATCAAAAATATAAGTTAGATTTGACATGTGACCAACTCCACTCGGTAGGTCAAAAAAAAAAACATTTGCTTAATGGGCTAAATAGACACTGGTAGGTAATGTTTTAAGACTGACTGTAACGATGGTTAAGAATAAAAAATTTTGAAAATAAGAGAGCTGTGTAATAATAGTCGGATCGGACAGGCTGCTCACAATGGTCGATATTCTACTTACCCAATAGCATATGGTATAGGTATTCTGCCATCTGGTAACGATGGTAAACTGGTGCATCCGTGCACTATTATCTCCAGTTCGTCTTTACCAGGCCTGGATACATGCATACCTGTCTGTGCACCTACTTGGCGGTTTGTAACTTCAGGCAATGGGGAATCTGTAATCTGGAAATTTTTTATTTAAACTATAATTTCTCCATTCAAATATTAATGTGAAAAACAAAATTAAAAACACATCAAAAATAAATGATATTTTCTTGTACTCCTTTGAGTGCCAAAGTCAACTTTGGCACCATTCACAAAAATAAACAAATGTAATTTTTCCATATTTTTTATCAAGACCTGAAGGCAACATAAAAGTATATCTATTTGGTCTCAAATTAACAAAAAATTCTAGAAAAATTAATAAAAATTTGGCACCAAAATATTGGCAGGAATCATTATAGGTTAAATAGCTAACATTTTGGTAGTGTGTTTGATATGGGTCCCACACGACTTACACAACGCATGCACAATTCAAACACACACTGCACTGCTACTATGGCGCTTGATTTTGGAACCAAATGAACAGAATTGTATCAAATGTTTCTTTAAAATTAAAGGGAACAATTATGCAGGTTTATTTTTTGAAAAGTCAGCAAAAGGTAACTTTTGTATTAACACACAACTTCATCTCAGTTTTGGACCAGAATATAACAATGCAAATTTGAAATTTGAGTTTATTGATACTTGTACCCTCCAATTTTTAATAATGTTTTTTTGTGAAAGGAGACAAAGTTTGACTTTTGTGTCTAAGGGATTATAGATACATGGCCTACTATACATGTTTAATCAAAGGTCAAGTAAAGTTCAAGTAGCATACTGTAAAAGGATTAATTATTCACTGAGTTTTAATTTTGCTTATTTCGCTGACTGGAAAATGCGCTAAATTAAAACCCAGTGAATATGTATATTAAGCATAGAACACATTATCTAAATGATAAAACCGTGAATTTAAAACCCACTGAATATGCCTGAAATGGTAAATCAGCAAAATTTAAACCCATTGGAAATTAGTCATTTTACAGTATATGTGCCTATATCATGAATACAGTTCAAATGATATAAGCAGCACAGACCAAGCACAGATTGGTACATCAAAAAGACATTTATAATCAGAATGCAAATGTGGGTACAAGTGATATATCACATGAATACACATAACTAATAACAGTTGTTTATCAAAGACATTAAAAATGTATTTGTCAACAAAATTGTGTTTGGTGTCTTAACTGATATGTGTACTGATCAAATAAATATTATGTTACAAATTAAATATTTGATGAATATAATATTACTCATATTACTGAGCAGACATCAAACATCACATACTCCCTAAGTTAGTTGTGTTTAGCACCCTCTGGAAGCAGAATTCAAACGTTGGTGCATGATAGAATTTGTTGTAGTTAAGACAACAAATAACTTAGTCAAATGCTTCAACTTTCAGATTTGATTTTTGGTCAAATTACTCAAAGGTGAAAGGGCTTCAACTACGTTTTGTGGAAAATACAACTACAAAATGAGTTATAAATACAATTTGCTTTTTTGATACTAAACCAATGGTGTACCCTAATTAGGGTGAGACACTACCATAAGATTACAGATATGTAGGTCTACCTTCTTTGTAAAGTATTTCACAACACAAATGAAACTTATATTCAGATTCATGGACAATAAACAGTGTTAATTAAGCTGAATTTATGCTTAAATATGCATAAATAACAGAATAGATTAAGCATGAAATGACCTACTTTACTCGATAAGTTGTAAGTTGCTATAATACATGACAATTATTACAAACAGCAAATCTAATTTCACTTAATGCAGAGTCAGTCATAAATAACATTCATTAAACTGTTAAATTAAGCTGTACATATACTGAGAAAGTACATATAAACCACGAAAATAGAAACACATGATGCCGACCTTTTCTCTTTCCTTGTTTTGTTGTGACCGTGGTAGTGTTTGTAGTGATAGCAGAGACGCAAACATTCCACGCTGTTCATTCGTGGGATTATTATTCTGCTCGGAGCTAGGATTTCCACCCCCAAGTAATGAATTTCTTGAACTAAGTTCTGATGACCGCGACGGAGACTTGTTATCATTTGCTGGTGTAAGACCGCGATTTGATCCATTTTGTGAGACTCTATCAGCCTTAGCTTGCACATCACTTGACGAGTTTTCCAATCCTTTTGTCGGGCTATTTGTTTTGGAGGCTGAATTCCCCCTGGCTGGAGTGCCAGTTCCAGAGTTTGTGTTGTCAATTTCAGACACTTCCTGTTTACTGGCAGCCATGTTGCCATACGTGTCTAACCACTTCAACCTTATCGTCAGCGATGTTGACACATGTTTGTATATCTAGGAAGGGCTCTTGTTGACGAGAGCCCTGCTACAGCTAAGCATTTCAAATTTTATTCAAGCATTTCAAGCCTAATCCAGGCATGACAGCTGAGTGCAATTGACGTTTAATGAACAATGGAAAGTGCAGAATGTGAAATCACATTCAAATGGTCTATTATTTACAATCTATTTCAATCCGAAAATACATTGTAAGAAAGTAACAATAACAAGACAAATAGTGCGTTCAAGCATATGTCAGCTTAATTAGGTTTTGCAATCTACGACTTAGGATAGCTGGGTGATATGTTGCAGAACTGTCACTTTTTTTAAAAGTAGTAAAGACTTCCATTTAACTACAACTCTTATACAAAATGCTGTCATTACATGTATATAATGTCCTGACTTTGTATATATATATATAGTACATAAAATACTGTAGGGTGGAGAAAAAATATATACTAGTGCGCTTTAGTTGAAAATGTTTTTTGTTTTGTTAAAATTTTTTAAAATATGAATGAAGAAAATTTAAATTCAATTTCAGAAAAAACAAAAAATAGAAAACCACCTAGTGCGTGTCTATTACAGAAATCAAATTGACCAGAAGCATTTGTTTTCTTGGTTTTTTGTGGCTATCAAAAGTCGTTCTTTTATAATTACATTCAGAAAGACACGGAATGTTACAAAAGTCATCACTGTTACTCACTGGTTTAAAGTTAGAACACTATTTAAAAGTAAAAATAATGTCATTTTATTTATTTTCACAGAGATGACATTCTCGGTTTGGAAAAACTAAAACAAAATGAAGTGAAGTGAAAGTAACATGTTTTGTCTGTTTTATTGAATTCCATTGTCAAGGTTTTATTAAAACAACAGATTGACAGTGAATTAAAAAAATTCCACATACTGTTGACTGAATAATACTTGTACTTTGTAGATTTTGATTTTGAAAACATTGTCACTGACATATGTGCTAAAATATCTACACATATGAAATATTAGCTTCTACTGGTAATAATAATAATAATAATGTTTATTCAACCTTTGTATCGGCAGCATGAAAACAGTAATACATATATTTAAATTAAATGTGATTAAAAACGTGATATGTATTTTCAATATTATGTGTGAATGATCATTTTATCTAGTACACACATGAAACCTTATGAAGATATTTCCGAGTGTTCACTCAGATCTTCAGACTTTTTATCTGTTATACATTAGAATAGCATTAGGGGAACAGTATACAAAAAATCTGAGAGGCAGAAACAGAACTAGACCCCCGTAACTCTCCAAATTCAGAACATTTTGAACACATTTTTAAATAGCATAACACCTATAATCACTTGCAATATTGTGTTATGAAAAACCATTTCTAGCTTGCCAGACATTTTCAAACGGTAAGGCCTGTTGATATTTGCGAGTATTCCACAGTTGAATTGAAATGCAGTGTGTCAATATTACAAGTATTGATATAGAACAAGTCATTGAAAATGACACAGTCCCCGTTAAATTTTTGAAAGTTCTCTTTGTGCTCGTCATATTAAAGCGGAGGGGTTGTCGCGAACGTGTCCTTGAAACTTGAGTTCCAAGTGGCGTATACAACAGATTACATCAAAACACGTGTTCCGTGTAGTAGTAATATGGCCAAAAATAAAAACAGCCGTTATTTGGCCATCTTTGATCTGATTATGAAACACACTGATATGTATGATGTATGTGCCAAATACGAATGAAAATGGTACATAAATTGTGGAAATATAGTAGTAAGGCCAAAAAGTCAGATGGCTGTCAATCGGCCATCCTTGACCAGATTTTGAAACAAATTGTCATGGACATGCATCCTAACATGTATAAAGTACATGTATGTGCCAAATTTGAATGAAAACTGACAGAGTACGTCCAAGATACAACATAAAAAAAAAAAAAAAGATGCCTGCCAGTCGACCATCTTTGATCCAATTGCGAAATAAATCGTCATGGACATGTATCCTAACATGTAAAATCTATGTACCAAGTTTGAATGACAACTGACAAAGCATGTCCAAAATACAACATTTTCAAAAAACAAGATGGCTGCCAGTCAGCCATTTTGAATCGAATCACTAAACCACTGCATGTGCATATGTCCCACATAATGTACTAGGCACATGCAAAAAATGAACGAAATCGGTTCACAGGATTCTGAAATATGACTCTGGACAGACTGATACAGACTGATGGCTTGGGGACTAATTACCAGTGAAACTAAAAAAACCAAAGTAAATACTTACACGATGTCCTGCCCCAGGTGGTGGAGTCGGAGAAGGGATAAAAAGTCGGTCATCTTCAGGAAGCTGCCTTGCCGGTTTAGTTACTTGTGGAGGTGGAGTTTTCTTTTCAGGTGGTGGAGGTGGAGGGGGTGTAGGTGTGCGTTCCTTGGGTGGTGGTGGTGTAGGTTCCTTTGGAGTAGGTTGCCGTTGAGGTTCTGGCTCCGGTTCTGGTAGCGGAGTTCGAGGAGTCGGTGATGCTGAAGGATCTGCCTCACATAATGTGACAGTGTATTTGAGTCTCCCACAATGCATTGTAATCGGTTCTTTTTCAAGAGTTCTGAATAATGTCATAATGCCACTATAATTGTAATAGTCCTCCCCCTTCTTAGCATACACATTAATTTTAGGCTCATTCGGTCGGGGGTAGATAGCGAATTTCCCTTCTCCAGCTTTCTTGAATTCTTTATCATCTTCATCTTCTACGTAAGCTTCAATTAATAATACTATATCATGCTTCATATCGTTCTTGCAAAAACCTGAAAAAACAGATACAATTAAAAATCCAGTGGAGAGATCGATTTTTCATATGAACTTTTCATGTTTATGTTCATATCTATACTACAAAACCAGTGAAATTAGGACATGAAATATATTTAGTCCTCATTGGGAAATAGTTGATAAAACTGAAATTAAATACTGTGTATGGAAATTACATGCTAGATCCAGTTGTGTGTATTTATGGTAGAATTGTGATGAACGATACAAAGTATCAGTCTTGAATCCGTGGTATGTACAGGGATAGTATATGTATATGGTTATAGAAAAGTTGGAATGTAATCGGCAATAGTCAATTTGAATCAGTCTTGAATCTGTGGTATGTACAGGGATAGTATATGTATTAGTCTTGAATCCGTGGTATGTACAGGGATAGTATATGTATATGGTTATAGAAAAGTTGGAATGTAATCGGCAATAGTCAATTTGAATCAGTCTTGAATCCGTGGTATGTACAGGGATAGTATATGTATATGGTTATAGAAAAGTTGGAACGTAATCGGCAATAGTCAATTTGAATCAGTCTTGAATCTGTGGTATGTACAGGGATAGTATATGTATTAGTCTTGAATCCGTGGTATGTACAGGGATAGTATATGTATATGGTTATAGAAAAGTTGGAATGTAATCGGCAATAGTCAATTTGAATCAGTCTTGAATCTGTGGTATGTACAGGGATAGTATATGTATTAGTCTTGAATCCGTGGTATGTACAGGGATAGTATATGTATATGGTTATAGAAAAGTTGGAATGTAATCGGCAATAGTCAATTTGAATCAGTCTTGAATCCGTGGTATGTACAGGGATAGTATATGTATATGGTTATAGAAAAGTTGGAATGTAATCGGCAATAGTCAATTTGAATCAGTCTTGAATCTGTGGTATGTACAGGGATAGTATATGTATTAGTCTTGAATCCGTGGTATGTACAGGGATAGTATATGTATATGGTTATAGAAAAGTTGGAATGTAATCGGCAATAGTCAATTTGAATCAGTCTTGAATCCGTGGTATGTACAGGGATAAGTATATGTATATGGTTATAGAAAAGTTGGAATGTAATCGGCAATAGTCAATTTGTATCAGTCTTGAATCCGTGGTATGTACAGGGATAGTATATGTATATGGTTATAGAAAAGTTGGAATGTAATCGGCAATAGTCAATTTGAATCAGTCTTGAATCCGTGGTATGTACAGGGATAGTATATGTATATGGTTATAGAAAAGTTGGAATGTAATCGGCAATAGTCAATTTGAATCAGTCTTGAATCCGTGGTATGTACAGGGATAGTATATGTATATGGTTATAGAAAAGTTGGAATGTAATCGGCAATAGTCAATTTGAATCAGTCTTGAATCCGTGGTATGTACAGGGATAGTATATGTATATGGTTATAGAAAAGTTGGAATGTAATCGGCAATAGTCAATTTGAATCAGTTTCACACAAAAAATAAGTGCATCAAGGTACCATAATGTTTTATCATAGGGTCTATGGTTGTATTAAGTTTCAATGAAATCCGCCCATGCATACCCAAGATTAGGTTTGTTTCAGAATGGCAGAAAAGTGCATTTTTATCATGAAAACTGTCATTTTGAATCATACTGATATATGAATTCAAGTGCATATGTGTGACATGATGTTAGTGTGAAATGTAAATATCCAAGCGTTTTATTACCAGTTGTGACTGGAAATTTGAAAGTCTGAATAAAAAATGTGCTATATATAGCCTTTTTATGTATTTTCACCAGTTTTTAAATTGAAAATTATTGCTTGAATAGTGAAATTTTGTACCCTCTTTTTCTTTCGGCAAAGTGTTTTTTGTGTTCTTTAATATTAAATGTTTTCTGCATTTTTGGCTGAAGCATGTAAATGAAGCACCATAGTTGTTGCACTGTGTCATGTGCAATATGGCTTCTATGAAACATATACAAAATTCAATGCCTGCGGCATAACGACTATGACACAAAAATAAATTACTCAAAGAATATTTAAAGAAAACAATGATATGGATTTATAGCAATAACAAGATTGATTGAACTCACCTTTAGGCAATATGAAAGTGAATTTATTGTTTCGAAATTTATAGAATTCCTCTTTATTTAGCTGTACAATTTCATCCGTATTTCCGGTGTAGTCATTAATGGGATCATCACTGTCACCATATATGACCATCACGTCGCTTATTCCAACATCTTCACCAGTAGCATTTACGATTGTTAGTTTCAAATAAAATTTACCATTATGATTGAAAGTTATGTCCGTGATCTGGAATGCAAATCTTAGAGACTTTGTCTCTATTTTAAGAGCATTCATAGCTGCCATCTTGTCTGCAGAGTTTACTGATCACAATGAAATCCTGGCAGTTGTGTAAACACCAACAGCAAACACTTAATGGCACACTACTGAAAATAAAGAAAAATAAGTTTGTTCAGCAGTCAATTTTAAAAAGAGTTAATCAAAATATATTTTAGGATTTTTTAAATTGTTCAAAAAATGTGAGAACAAAAAGTATTTAAAGTAAAAACCGAAATGTAAAAGTAAAGAAAAACTTTACATTTCTGATTTTCAGAACTTTGCAGGAAAATACTGAACACATAAAACAAGGTGTCTGTAGGTAAATTTTACCTGATGTGTACGAATGGTACGTTTAGCTTCATGCTCCTTGATGTTGGTTCATCACTCAATTTGAGCTCATTTTTAACATTTATGGCCCCTTTTTTCTGCAAGATTTTTGACTCTTCTGCGAGATTTTTGACTTTTCTGGCCCCTTTTTTCTGCAAGATTTTTGACTCTTCTGCGAGATTTTTGACTTTTCTGTGACTTTTCTGCAAAGATTTGTAATTATCACCTTTTTCAGACTTATTCAATCCTGAGAAAAAGCCACAAATTTCACAGAATAAGGGCCACAATTGCTGAAAATAGGAACAAGTAGAGCTAAGTACCCACAGCTTCCATGCTCCAAACATGCAGGTTCTTTTATGCTTATTAATGATAGCCCAAGACACACAGACTACTAATTCTTGTCCCAGGCTACCATTTTCCAAAATTAGTAAACTAAACTACTAGAAATTTACAAAGAATTCATATTTTGTTTTCTTAAAGTTAATATACGAGAGCGTCTTGCATAAATTGTGCAATGACATTAACTTAATTGTGTTCACACTTTTCATTGGCTTCCGCAATTTCGTCCGTTTTTGTTTTGAAAAAAAAAAAAATAGTAGGATAACTAAATAGATAAGTACATATACTATTGAGTATATCATTGTTAAGGAGAAGCAAACATGCTCAAGTGCTTGTTTATTAGATCTGCATTCAAGGTTGGTTATAATATTATTATTACTACACAGAAAAAGTATATAGTATGTAGTCTACATAAAACAATTTTTATTTAACTTTGTGTCTTCCACTAAACTATATACGAGTATTTTCCTACATTCAATTTTTCAGATTCCGAACATGTCGAGTACTTGATACTTGTCTTAACATTTGTACACCATAAATAAATTTGATCGGTCGCATTTAGGTTAAATATTCGCCGAGAAATGCAGCTACACAGCTGTGCCGAGCAGGCTTCAGTCGCCCGCATTTTCACTGAATGGCGATGGTTGTCCCGAGAGATACGCTCACTTGTGTTTTTCCCTTGGGAATTTAGACGTACAAGACCAGGTCACAACATTGTGAAATGATCCAAGGCTATGTGCCAAAGAAGACACTGGATTGAAACGTGAGTACCGGTTAATTCCCTCTGGTACGGGTATTCATAACAGAAGGTCGCCTGAGGTGCTAAATACATGAACACAGGTAATCCTATCACGGACGATTGATGTCACAGCAAATTAAATCTGCGCTACGACAGTTATATTAAAATAGTGAAAAATACTAACCTTCCTTTAAAAACGACGAAGGACAAAAACAGTGATGAATACTAAATCTGTGCCACTATATACCCCCTCAACTGATCGTTGAAACCAGCTAAGTAACCAGTCACTCAGCATTCTTTTTCATGCGTGCTGTTGACTTGGTTTTCATTTGTTTGCATTACCAACAAACAACATGGCGGACGGCTTATGCAAATTACGAGGTCATCCAAGGTCATTCGATTGGTTTTTAATGAGATGCGCATTGACATGTTGAGTGTTTTGTGATTTCAATGGCTTGTTTTAAGGATACTCCCTAATAAATATGAGAATGAATAAGTGGTGGGCAAACGTTAGGCCTAATGTTGGTTTCAGAGCAGAGCAAAATTTGGTGAGAAAAATTTTGCTCGTCAGTCGAATTTTCTTACCAAAATCAGATAAAGACACCTTGTCGTAAAAGATGAGCTACATTTTTTCTTGATAAAGATTTAGGGTTGACCATTTAAAATCGAGGAGGGTTCTTCTCGTGTACTTGAGTGTCTAGAACTCATCTTTTTTTCTTATAAATATAGCGGTATATTTCCATACCAGATTTCAAAGCCCAGCCTTACTTTTAAATATAGTGACCGAATCTTCTACATACTATACATTAAGTTCAAAGTTTAGATATTTTTCTGTTGCAAGAGGAAATTTTGCTCACCATTTACGACAGAGGTTTTTTATCTGGTGAACAGAATTCTGCTGACCGAATATTGCCCTCTTAGTACAAATCGACATACTATACTGGTAACTATATCATGAGACAACTTGATCGGTGGTTAGTAAAAGATGAGAAACTAGTAGATATGAACTGGAACCCACCAACAATTCACCTAGATTTTCTCCCGGTTTTCCATACAACTAATTGTCATTGGATGTGATCATGTGAATAAAATATTTGCAGATTACTAAATTCCTCTAGTCATTACACTGAAATGAATAAAATGCCAGTAATAGTCATGGCTCCCGGCAGTAAATTGAGAACAACAAAAACTAGCACAGAGAAAGTAATGAATGAAAAACGACAGGGAGGAAATGACAGATCTAACACATACACACACATTCACCCCTTCCCACAGTGTCTAATGATCAACGCCTATATTTGGGACATTTCTATGAGTTGTTTGTACCTCCAATTAATATAAGTTCCCTAATAAATGTGTGTAGATATTTTCCCAAGGGATTGACCATTAGAATTTCAGCAGGGGGAACTATGTACAGAGAAAAATCTCACAGAGAGACTGGCAGAAAAAATAAATTAAAGGAACAACAATCATACCCACTTTTGATAGATGTCAAACAAGTGACACGCCACCACTGACATCGTCCCGAATGTAACAATGATGGAAAAATATTACCATCCGCCGAATTTCTCATGCCTGCACAAGTCGTGCGGTGCATTTAAAGTGCCTGCGAAACGCCTGGAGTCCAACCTATCAAAATACCCCGATAATATGCGTTTGAGCATGTTTTAGAAGTTGGGATTATTGTACTTCGTAAACTATACAACTACTCAGTATTTGTGAGTATATAAGGACGTTATCGCGTGAACAAAACGCATAACACTTCAAAGAAGTACTTACGGATCTACACCATCCAGAGCATTCATAATTGGAAATGTTAGTTCAATTGAACTCATCCGCCTCTCATCATGTTTTTATTATTGTAATCAGATGTTTATTTCTCAGTTTGTTCTCTTTTTTGTATAAATAACCCAACTTGGTAATCATTCGTAGCAAATAGAAAATTAAATAGAGTGTCCCACAAAATTAAATATTTGAGTGGTGTTTACCCCGGGGTTACAGGCACGGAGTTGTCTGATCGCAGTGTGCAGCCAAGCATATGAAATCATAACGATTTCACCAAAACGTCAACTTAAAAAAATGTACTCACGACCTATTTTTTTTTTTACATTAGGACAGTGTTTATCACCTTCGCGAAATCGATGAATACACAATAAAGATTTTCACGTTTTTTGATAATATATTTCATAAACTGATCATGAAGAATATGAAAAGTTTATTCATATTTGAACTTAGCTGCACTTCATCAACATTTCCAAAAGCATAGACGCTAAATGTTGAAATAGACGTAAGTTATGAAAAGTTCATGAAAACTGCATCATGCATGTATAAGGTAACAGTACAGTGACGTAAACAGAGAATTTATAATCCTAACTTTTGATTTACCGTTTATTTAAGATGCTTTACACTGGCAAGAATTTCAAACAAACCATTGATTTGTTGAGAAACTACAGTTTATTTGTAATATATTTTACAAACTATAAACTGAATATCCAAGTTAAAATCTAGTCTGTTTTCTTCTATATTTCCAAAAGCATCCACCAAAATGATTGTGAAAAGCGTCCCAAACACTGGAGCAGTGGAATCACTCCGATAGTTAACAGTGTCGTCTTAGCGCCATTTTCAGTGTGGATATGTATAACCGTACTAGACCATTCAAAAGTTATATATATATATATACATGAACAGTTGATAGAGAATCTCCAATTAGAACATTTGGCCTGCAGGTGATCGTTTTTGAGACTCTTAACACTGTCAGGAATTTCCATTTGGATGATTTCATATAATATACCCCAGAGGATTTCAATTGCGCGTATTAATTCGTCCAAGCAACTTCGCAACTCATTTGTGGAAACTCAGACTAGTCATATTACGAAGCCGTTGTTGGTTGCGAAGAGATAACTGAAGTCACCACGTCGTGTAGTTGTATAGGATATTCTTGTTTGTGTCAAATATATTCTTTTAAGAGTGAACAAAAAATATTGTTATGAGTTAGGAAGAACAAATATTTGTGTTTATCCTGTATACATTGTATTTCTGAAGGTTTTTGTTTGATTCCTAGTATTCTCTTAAATAATCTGGCGAAGCGCGTCCACCACGTAAATTTGCACGAAGTTCGTTAACAGCGTCGATATCATTTTAATCTGTACAGTCTGTAATCGTTTTCTAGATGACGAACGATTTGACAATCAAGCACATTTGTCCATTCCACCATATACGCCATTTTGACGTCACTGTCACTAAAGGGTGTAACTTATAGGAATGATGTATTGTCTTGGTCACGTGATTAACCTCTGTCACAGGTACATAAATCATGCCTCGATAATTTGGACATAATACTCGGTGTCAATATTTGAAGATTTAACTACATTATGATTAGATTCAGACCAAATAATTTGCAAAAAATAGTTTTTTGACCAGACATATGTCTTTAGATCACTATCTATAACAATTGTCATTGCTCGATGCTTATCGACGTCGTTATGACAACAGGCAAAGAAGAGTTCAACGGTTGGTGGTCAGACTCTATCCGTGAAATATTAACAAACCTGGACTTTATAAAAAAAAAAAGTGACGAGAACAAGAGAACGTAGTCTGGGTATTGGTTTCATTGTGTGTAATACAAGCATAGTCACCTGCACCTGCGTCGTTACTAACTTTCCCTATTCAGTGCGTAAATACCAAACGTACAGCAACATTTGAGTAGGAAGTGACCGAATGCGTTTGTGTCTTTGCCTCCTGGGCCACGTAACTCCTGAAAAAAACTCTTGTACATTACCAATGTGGGGTTATGATTCGTGACTGGTTTATATCCAAAGTAAGTAAGAAATGCTATGCAAACAAATCAATCACAAGAAACGAATACGTAAGGAATAAACGCGTAGAGTAGTTTATTACGTCAATACAGTATATCCACTGATATACCGGAAAATTTACCATAAAGAAATTTGTAAGCAAACGTTAAACACAACAACGCGGTAAAGACTGGCGCTACTAGTAAAATACTTGCGCGTCCTATTTATAGGCTCGGTGGGATTCTGAACCCCAGGCAGGGAATGTCCCTCATTGGTCGAAAG